TTCTTGGTGTTATTGCATTTATTTACAGGACGTTCATTAAAAAAACTTAGCTTATAGTTCCATCTTTTCTTACAGATTTTTTCTTGGTTATACTGAATATAACTTCAAAAGGGGAGTGTTTTCTTACACTAAGTGTGTACTTATCGTATAATCATTTTCATTTAAGCATCAACTTGTAGTGGTGTCCTTTTGGCCCGTGGTCTGAGCCAATAGGCTGCTCTTAGGATCTCTTGCTAGCTGAAGAAAACCATTGTCAGTTGCTGATCCATCAGTCATGAAGTAGAAGCTGTTTGAGGGTGGAGCTATTTGTACTTGTGCTCAGATCCATCATTCTGTTTTCCTGGGGCTTTTGCTTTACAACTTAAATCTCAGCTGCTTTTTATGGTCCTATGTTTTAGGCAATAGATTTCAGACAATGTTGCATCTTAATAACATCAAAAGAGGAAGAAAACTCAATAAGCAATTTCTAAGTTAAAAGAATTAGTAAAATGTTAATGACAGTTAGGTTTATTTCTGCATGTAAAGAACAAAATAGAGAAAAATTTAAAATAATGACAGAGAGATGTTTAACAATAATCAAGAAATCCTTAAGCCACTAATTTCCAGAAACGGTGAGTTATATCAATGGAAAGACCACTTTATATTTGCCCAATTTCTTCTACTCCTTAGTCAAGGAACTACTCTGTTGGCAGAGTCAGAATAGTGAGATAGCCAATCTCTAATACTCCTAGGAGATCCAGAAGCATTTACATCTTGTGGATTCTTGTTTAATGTCATTACAGCTGCTTCCATGTTCTGACAAAGAGCATTCATGAAAATGCTTTTTGCCATCCATGCAGGAGGAACTAACTACAGGAATGTGGGCCTTTCTGCAAAATATGAAGTTGTGTTGTTTGGAGTATATATTTACTTTTTTACAGAGTGTTTTATTGTATCCCGAGCTTTTAGTAATTAGGGAGTTGAACTGGTTGGTTTGTAGCAGCACTGCAATATATACTGTAGTATAAAAACTTTAGCTTGGAAATAAAGATTTACTCAGATATTTAAGATGATAGATATGTCTACATATCACTCTTGCTGCACTAAAGACAGTCCAGAAGAGGCAAAAAAGTTTTCTCCTTTCTCAGCCCATGTGGCTAATAAATGTGATGTCTTTTCCCAAGCTCTCTTCATAAATATTTGGGAAGCAGAGTAATTATCCAAATGTTTCTGATAATGAGAATAAATTTTTTACTTTGATTTCAAGGTTCTTAATAGGAATCCACATAGGACTGGTTCTTCTCATGCTGTTGCTTTACTGAGTTGACTATTTTAGGCTTATTATCTCCCACCATTTTTTTTTTTTTTAAATTATTATTATTGCTAGAGTTTTCTGTTCTCAGAAATGATAAAAAAAAGTTTTTAAGTATCCATTATCCAAAACCAATTTTCTAGCCTTGGAGAAATATGAATGGAAAAGAGAGAAAGGCATAACTTCAAATCATGTATCTATAGCTGTTCATGTTTTAGGACATATGGGAACACTTAATGAAGTCGTATTTTTTTCAGATGTTTCAATAATCTGTATTTTTATTCTTCATTTTATCTTCTTAACACTGAAGAGGAAAATATAATTTATATAAGAATTTTATTAGATTAGAAAAAAATTCAACTTTTTGTTGTTATAATCTAAATGTGAAGCATTTTTCCCATTCAAAGCAAATATATACTAAGGTGAGACATTAACTAATGCAAATTATATTTCTACATAGACTTGCATCAGAGAGCAGATGACTGACTAAATAGCTGCTCTGTTTCCTTCATCCTGCTACTTTAGAAATGGTGTCTGTTGCCTTGATTAGTCTCTGGAGAGTATTGAGATTCTTGAATAGATGTTTCATTGTGAAAATTGCCTCATAAGAATCAATTAAAAGAAGACTTAAAGGGCTTTTTTCCTCTAATGCTCCATTTAAGCAATAAACATCTTTTAATCATATTGAGGACAAGAATATAGTTGGTCATAAAACTAAAATAATCTGGGGGATGAAAATGTAGTCCTGCAAAAAACTGGTATAATATATCTTGTAGAAGGAATATTAATGTATAGGAATATTTGTTATTTTTAGAGGTCCCTGGAAATTTTAATAGTATTAACAATAAGTATGAAAATGAGTCCTTACTGACAAAGTGTCAAAAGATAATTAAGTTGATACAACTTTATTCTCATAGTTTACTATTAAGGGGGTTTGGTCCTAAAAAGTACAGTGGCAGTAAAATTTACCCATGTTATCGAGTGATTTTTTTTTAATATAAAAAGAGCAAATTTTAAAAAATATTTCACAAAAGTGGTTGTGCCAAAAACCTGCCCTCCTTATTCAATATAGTTCAACTAATGTCATATTTTATAAGATGGACTGTATTTATTTACTTTTAATTTTTTAATTAATCTGACCTCCTCAAAAGTGTCATATTACCATTTTTACTGCTTTCTTAACTTAACCAGAAAAGATAACTAAGGCTTCCATTAGAGTATCACATTCTGTCTCTGTACTGCCACAGCTGGAATAATCTCAGAGTTGCCCTATTCTCATGAGGGATCTCACAGTATCACTGTACACTCTTCTACCATGAGTCTTTGCTTCACATCTAGTAAGCTGCAGGCTTGCTGATTTTTCAGGTTATGTTACAAGACCTTCCTTATACAGCTCTGCTTGAGGGGAGTACGTAGGCACAGGGAAACTGTATACTGGATTTACCAATAGATTACTAGTCTTGAGTCAGCAAATGCATTTGTGTTACAATGCATGTGAGAGATTTTCATATATATGGAAGCTATACTTATGCAGCAGTCATTGATATGACTCTTGCTCATCTGGAGAGATCTGTGTGCCGTTACCAACTCAACCCGATTAGCTATGGGCTAACATTGTGAGTGGGAGGTTTTATTACTTGCAGTAGTTTCTGGAGGATGGATGATAGCGAACATTGAGAACACACTGTTAATTCTATGCAACTCTTGATTTCCCTTTTTGCCTACAAGCTACAGACATTTTTTCTAGACCTTTTTCCACCAATGTGTGCCATGTGTGCACTTATGAGACAGATTCAGGTCCCCTATAGTATACTTGCTTCTAAATAAAACCCATGTTGTAACTAAAACTGATGCAAATAAAACCAATGTTCTAAATAAAATAGGTTATGTATTGCCCTTCATACCTCTTCCAGGTAAACAAAAAAGGCATGCTATTTAAGATACATTTTTTGCTTTAGTTTGTCTTTTTTTGTTTGTTTTCAAGGACAGTGCAAAAATGATGTAGTCTTTGATATCCTACGTACACCTGTGCTACAACAGAATATCATTTGAGACTTGTTTGTTCATGTCCTTAGAAATGAATGCAAAACTTTCTAGTTGCTGAATAGAGAAAGCTCTTTTTCCTTACTGCTAATGTATTTGAATATGCAGTATCTCCTGGAGGTTGTTGAGTTCTTAGTAAGTTCAAAAAACAAGTAGTACAGCTGATTCATAACAAAAGTCTTGGGATTTAAAAGTGCCTTATACCTGTTTACTTGCTTTCTCACATGACCCTGCAGATCTAAAAGACATTGACTTTATGTACATACAATGCTTCTAAGTAATGTACAGGTCAATATTAAAATAAATAAAAATGTGCTTTGTCTGTTCTTTGGGTGGTTTAGAGCTGCAAATTCATGATATGATGAAACCATGCGAAGAAGAAAGCTTGATTCTAGAGTGATGGGATGAGGTTACCTGTAGTTACACGGAAGTAATCCAAGCAGTTTAGAGAGGGTGACAGTGACAATCAGCAACAGCACAATAGGTCAGATTTTTTTGCTAGAGAATTAGGCAAAATTCTTCCTGTAAGGTGAGAGGATTTAGAATGCTAGTCACTTTCTAGGGATTAGGCAAAGGAGGGTCTTTTTCAAACATTGCTGTATTGAATGACTCTCAGTTATGTGAGGGATCCAAGCAAAATGTCTTGAATGAAAAAAAAACACCTTTTAATAGGATGACATGTTAATGCAGTGGTTTGCTGCTTAAATCTACTCCCAGGTGTGTGGGTTTTTTTGGTATGACTTGATATTCAGGAGAGGTAATTCAGGAGAGAAATGAACTGCAGTTGTAAAAGTTTATTTAGTATATTACACGCAACTTTATTATAATAACATATTGTAAGTTACTAAGCATGAAGTTTTAAAATACTCCATTTAATTAGTTTGATTTAGGAAGTACAGAATCTTATTTGTTTAAATCTGTAGCCAGATCTTTCCTGCCTGTATTTTTGGGTAACCACTTAGATCATTAAGTCTCTTTACTATTTGATTAGCCTTCTGAAAAGTTCATGTATTTGATGAAGGAGTTTTACCTCTCTCTTTTCAATGACTTACCAGAATTGCTGAGGACTAAAGCTTTGACTTGTTTTGCAGTTGCCATTTAAATTCATTTCTGTAAATCAAATATTTAAGACACAGTAATACTTGCTACCTTTTGTAAGGGATTTTGGCATCTTCAATAAAAATAACGATATAGCTGTTAGGTGAATGGTGACAATGTGTTCATAAACAGTTGCAAGACTGTATCTAGGAGTATTTGATATGGTATTTTACATAGTAAACTGAAAAATTTTAAAATATTTTTCTTAAAATATAATAAAGACATACATTTTTCCAATCAGTGAATTTTACTTGCTTTTTCTGTTATGCTTCATTTAAATAAAATTAACATCTGAACCGTGGGGAAAAAAAGTGGTTTTAACTTTTGGCCTAGGTTTATTACCAGAGCATATCAGTGGTCTTCAAGAATTAGGTTTTTTTGTGCACTGGCAAGGTTCATAGTAATCTTAGCTATGGGCCTAATCCAGTTCTTAAAATTAAGTTGAAAATATTTTTATAGTAAGAATTACCTTAAACTTTTTTGTTCTTTGTCTTCATACCTCTAAACTGTACAAGCAAAATTTTAACTGAATAGATGGTTATTTTTATTTTTTTGTTTTCAATATTAGGCCACTGACATCTGTGATCCAAACCCAATTATGATGCTTATTCTGTGTGTCTACCTATATGAAACTCTCCCTCACTACTTACCCAAGAAGACTATAGAATTTACAGGTGCTCTCCATACAACTATTGTTAAACAGGTACTGATACCATTACATTTGATTTGTAGCCTCACGAGGTTAAAACACTCTATATAGATGTATGTTTATATTATATGTATACTACAACGAAGAATGAATGGTTTCATGTCATTTGGCTACTAAATATAGAATATAGAAGCGTATATCTTCTTTTTTTTTTTCCCTCTTTCGGCTTGAGATCCTGGCTTCTGCTGCTGTTTTTTCCCCTATGCTTGTAAGCACAGAAAAAAATCTACAAATCTGGCAAATCTGAGATCAAGTATAGAGAGGAATAAGAGATTAACAGGCATAGGATTGCAGTATACAATGCAAAAAGAGAACTTAGAAAAACTGAGGCTGGACAGTCTGTGGGAATTCTATACTCCTTAGGAAGAAAAATGATCTACCTAGTACTTATTTTGTTATATCCTTAGTTTATATCCTAAAATTTGAATAAAAATAAGCTGATTTTTTTGCTGTTGTTGTGATAGGTGCGTCTGAAAAACCCAAGCAATAAAACTTTGATCTACAATGCTATTCTTGTAGGAAGAGATGCTGATGATTTCTCATTACCTAAAGGAAACATTGTCACCATTGCCCCTAAGTAAGTAATGATTTTTTTTTTTTTTAGCATTATTAATAAGTCTAGCAATATGGAAATATAAATCTACTAATTTAATAGGGGTGGGACACTAGAAATGTGTTCAACTACAAACAGGACAAAATTAGTCACTATAAAGATCAGTCTTTTTCTCCTTAGCCTAGAATAAATCCAGAGTAATTTGTCAGTGGGACACTTGCAGTTTAACTCGATAGAGCTTTAAGAGCAGAATACAAGCCTTCAGATAATTAGAGGAGTCGTCTGTGACCAATAAATATTTTTGTCTCAATATATTGAAAGCTTTAATTTTCAGTTTGGATCTGCTGTTCTTCTATTTTATTTTTTTCTCCAATTTGAAATATTTCCTCTGAACTTGGTTCATATTTTTTACATCAATGCATTGTGGAAGCATGAGCAGGTAAAAATTCTTTCTTCTAAGATTTCAGGTTTTATTTCTTATTCTTAACTGAAGAATGTCTGGGAATTTAAGAGACCATGACACAGGTTTGCTAGTAGCGTTAAGACTGCTTCGTTTTGGCCCCAGCCTCCCATCTGCAATGTAGTTATTTCTCTATGTTACATTTCTGAAAGCCATCGAAGGATCTTGGAGAGATTTAATTTTAGGAAAACATTAGGTTGTTTTCATTTTTGGTAACAGAAATACTCATGGTATATCACCATCTTTTTCTTTTTGTTCACTAAGTACATTTTGCTATTTCTGTGCTATGTGAGTTTATGACTAGATAAAGGAATTTCACTGATTCCTGTTTATTGAAGACAAGAGGGATGTAGCAGTGACTCTGGCTGTTAGTTTAGACTACAAGACTATTTAAGATATTCCTTTGCAGATAAAATGGATTAGAGATTGTAAAAAGGAAAACAAAGGTCTCATTCATATGAAAATAACCTGTGAAGAAGAAGAAAAATTTCAAATATATATTGTCAAATTCAAGAGGACTTAACATAAATACAGTACTCTTTAAGGATGATCAATATTTTAGTATTAGATGATATGCTTATTGTAAATATATGCAAAAGGGACAACAAGTAATGCCATGTTTTCAGTGAGCTATGAGGCTGGTGTGATTCCATTTTCTTTGCAGTTACTTCAAATAAGGATTAACATAAGAATGTAATCCTTGTAAATATCATGTGTTGCTCTGAAAGGTCAGGCTATTTTCACTTCACCAATAAAGAGGTAAACGTGTACAACCTTGTCATTGAGATGCTTGACATATAAAGCAACAAACGCATGAAAAAATGCATAGAAATAAAAGCCTGTGGAAATGCCAGTCATCCAGGGGTGACCTCTGCAGTCATCATAATTAAACCTTACTTGTAATCTTGTTCACAAAATGAAAATTAGATTCTTTGTAATTAATAGCTATCTTAATATTCTGATGGAAATGTTTGAGAACTCCAAGCATTGGTGGGATGTGTGGGAGTCTTGTAAGTGCTTTATATTAGATCATAGTATCATATGTGGGTTTGGAAATTATAGTAGAGTGAATAATAAACCAAAACCTCTGTTTAATTGATTATGTGTGGGCTTATTGCTATTCAGTTATATAAGGTAAATAAAACTGTTAGAGGATTTATAGGAGAGAATATTCTGCTTTCTTTGGAAGGAATGCCCTCAGAGAAGCTCAGAAATGAGGTAGGCTTGTAACAGACTTACAGAGAAAAATAAATATATTTATGGTCTAAATAAAAATTGAGGGAGAATTTTCAGTGTATTCAGTAAGAAATTTGATGTGAGTGTATCAGTAAAACTTAATGCAGTGACTTTTTGATGGGAATGTTAGCATCACTGACTACAACCTATTTAGGAATAAAATATACTAAAATAACTAGAAAGAGGCACTTCACAATAAAATTATTTTTTCTACTTTTAGAAGTAAATAATCCATAAATATGAGATTGGAGGAGGATAAATCAATGTGTTAAAAATCACTAAAAATTAGGAAAGTATATTTGCTATATCAGAAAACAGGAGTTCTAGTTTGAAAAAAGGAGTTATAAAACTTTCTGAGTATCTGTAATGGCTCGGACAACTTAAGGTCAGATATCTCTGCATTCTTGTTCCCCTGAATTAAAATTGTTCCTTTTGAATTTATGAATATTCTATATAAATATGGATATGCCTTCACCATTAGTTCATCTTTCACTGCAAGCTAGCTTGATAATAGGCAGCTTTACCCCCCCTGAAACAACAGGTACTTTAGATAAACTAATAAACAAGAAACACTTAAAAATAAAAGCTGTTGCCTTGTGAAGGCCTGCTGCAGGGCTGCAGTCAAGTTGTAAAGCTTGCTTTGCCAAAGTTTCAGGAAAAAAGGCCAAGGGAAATATTAGCAGTTCAGAGAACATTCACTCATGAGAGTTCAGGCAGTTACAGCTGTAAAGATGAACTGTAGCCTTGACAGGGAGGCTAAAGAAACTGAAACTTGTCAGTCTTTGGATTGGAGAGCTGGAAGACTTTAAGTAAGTTCTGCACTGTCAATCTTTATCCTTACAACTTGAAGCAACTTAGAACAACAGTAAACTTCCCTACTTTCCAGTTTTCACAGACCCTTGAGAACTCAATTAATGACCTTCCTATATAATAAGAAGTGTTAGTTCCTATATTATCCCTCTTTCCTCTTTTCTCTCATTCATGTTTGCTGCTTTCCATGTAAGTCTGTGGAAAAGGACTTTGTTAGAAATGGAAGAATTAAATCACCCTTGATCATGTTCTTACTGAACTCTTTTGATGAACTCCTATAGGTTTTTTTTACAGATGTTGACTCCTGTCACTTAGACTTCATATATAGAGAACTTGATTTTGAGAACTTCAAAGTGCGAGCTTCAACCACTAAACGTTTCTTATTAATCTTGTTTAAATGCAGGACTAATGAAAATCAAGTTACCTTTACTTAATCTAAAATCTCCTTCCATGTGGTCTCCCCTTCTCCAGTTCCCTTTCCCATCAGAGACTTTAGCTGTTGCTTGTATGAGAGAACTGTGGTTTTTTTCCACTTCTTAATTTCTCAGCTTTACTACTTATTCTGAAAGGTTTTTTACTCATTTCTCTTTCAATCTTCAGTGAGGATTTGATTAAGAACATCTAGATCTGCCTCACAACAAGCATAATAGGATTTCTGACTGTTTAACGCACAAAAACCTGTTCAAGTTGGGAAGCATAAGGCAAATCAGTTCTTAACTTAGTGTAATGCTATAAGGAAAGAGAACTTTATGTGCTAGTGTGTGTGTGGGATGAAAAATTAAGCTACATGCTGAGGTCATAAAAAGAAATAATGACTCAATATTGTTCTTTTTTATATCTCTATAGTTCTTTTATTGGAGTGTTTTAAGGTGCTTTTAGGCAGAAAGTTAAACTACAACAAAATATTTTGGAAGAAACAAGTGACTTTCTTTTCTAGCCCCCTTCCATTACAAATGCTCTAAAATGTGCTCCTGAAATGACATTTCTGAGTCACAAATTTGTGTCTAACTATTTAAACTGTTATTATTATTATTACTATTATTATTATTTTGCCTAGGAGAGAAATGAGTATAAATGTGGAATTCACTAGTCGTTTTCTGCGCCCTGCTGAAGCAGTGTTACTATTGATCTCAAAGACCGTGGGTGGAATACATGGTGCCACACTAACATTCTCTCTGAAATCTGAAGTCAAGCATATTAGACCTGCCGTAAGTTTATGTGTGTATGATTAATATTGTCAAAAAAATATTGTTCATCTGTACATTGTATCAAACAAAAGTGAACTGAGGCAAGAATAAAAATGTGAGTTACCATCAGCACTAGCCTTTGACCTAAAATTTTCAGTTTCCAATATTAGCCTGTGTGAATGCAGAGAAAAGCCCAGAGGAACATCTGATTCCTGAGGATGTAAATCAAACTTAGATCCTGAATAAATTTTAAAATTTTGCAGTGATTGCTCTGAAAATAAATCTGGAAACCTGTCAGCATATGGATGCTTTTGGAAATTCCGTTGCAGAAGTGGTGATATGTCCTTTCAGCGTAGTGATTTCAGTTGTCAGATGTAGAGGGCGAGCAAGCTTTTGTTAGATGTTGCTAGGTTTATTTGTACTTTTTAACTTTAGACAGTCTTTAGATTTAAGATATATCCCAGAAAGAGTCAGAGCAAAGATAGGCAAGTGTTTCAGCATTTGTTAGCAAGCATTCATTGAGCAGATCTGGATAGATCCTCTTCTGAACTTAGATCATGTTTATGCAATTCTGTTTTTTTACATGATTCTCTTTATACCACAGCAATAGACACTGATGTTAGAAAGGAGGGTTGGGGAAGAGAAAAAAAAATAGAGGCTGTGTAATCATAAGAAAGAAAAAACATAGCTTGATTCTTGGCCCTGTGCTATCATTTAGAAGAACATTTAAATCATGGTGAAGTTTAATGCATGTTTAAAAAGAAATAGACTTTAGCTATTTTTTGCTGGCAACAAAGCCTACCACTTAAATTATGTTAATTTTGTAGTCACCCGTGGTCAAACACACAGTTCTATTCTTTTTTGTAATATTTTCCTGTTTGTTTATGTATTGTACGTGAATGTGGTTTTGAAACTTCTTCATACTGATATAAATTTTTGTTCTCTTTTAGGATATATTAAAATGCAAATCTCCATGCTATGAGCTGAAGAAAGTTATCCTAAATGTAACTAATCCCTTCACAACTGATGGCATATTCAGGTAGACAATACTGTAAAGACAAATCTTTAATGATCATGCTGTTTTATCTATTCTTTTCTATAATGTTCTTCTCCTTGAAAATGTAAAACCTTGAGGTTAAAATATAGGGATTTACATTACCAAAATTGTTACAAGTACTATAAAGTGGAAGCTATAATATTGAATAAAGAAGACAAATAAGCCTTAATTGGAATCCATCTCAGTGTAAACAATAAAGCTAGAGCTTTAATCAAATGAAGTTCATGAACCTTGCTTGTATTTTTGTGTTTGGCTGAGGTCCAGGAGAATTCCAAAGAGAAACAAACCATGTTAATTAATACTTGGTTATTTTTTCCCCAGTCTGCTTTATCCTGCTGTTTCAATTATTAAGCATGCAAAAGAAAAAAACATGCTTTTGCCTTGGGGCTTGCATCACTGTCAGTTAATCTAATTTTTCATTTGTATTCATCATAGATGTAAAAACTTCAGTTAGAAATGGTGATTTCCTTAATGCAAAAGAAATAGAGTGCTGTGCCCCTTTCAAATCTATTTATGTGATCTGACTCCGTATTTTGTCTTTAGTCTGCAGAACTAAGCATTGGTTCCTGTCGTTCATTTATTTACAAGAACCATTTTCCATAACATTTTTAGCTTGTTTTACTGATTTGTTTAATATACGTGTTGCACAGGCTGCAAAATAAGTTTCTCTTTCATCCACTGAATAGATTTGGTAGAGACACCTGTGATGATTGTTTTCACTGCTGGAACATTGCATGTTTTTTGAACAATGTGCTCTGGCATAGGTTTCCTATGTGGGAATCATATGAGTTTATTTAGCTTCTGTCTTTTTTTGAAGTCCTTGAGGTGATCAGTGAGGCTGATGTGGATAACTCTTTTGGAAAGAATAGATTAAAAATGATGAAGTAACTTGGTTTTATGCATATCATTGAAAAGCTACTTGAAAACTACTTGAAGTAATTATCAATTTGGGCAACTCCTGAACATTTGAACCAGTAATCTAAAATAAAAGATACTTTGTATCAAGTTTCCAGTGTTTTGAACCATCTAGTGTTCCATCAGGGAGTACATTGCTTAATTGCACATAACACTAGGAAATGCAACTGTAATACCAAGGAAGTAGTTATTTTACAGAAAAATGGGGTGGAAATCTTAAAACTGGGTGTATAATGTAGTATGATTTAAGAAAAATACAAATTAAAAATATGAACATCTCTTTGACCTCATGTCAAACCTATAGCAAATGTGAGAGTTCCAAAAGCTGCAAATTCTATACCTTAAACTAGCCCTTGTCTAGCATTTGACTATTTGTTAGATGTTACCCATTCCATCAACCAAATAATGTTTTCTGGTTTTTACAGTTCCTATCTTTTAATACTTATGTATAGATACACATTTTAAAGATTACTGAACATTTGTAATTCATTTAAAAAAATGAGTTGAATATTTTTAAAATTGTCCATTGCATTTCTTTGTAAAGTACCGCAGCTATTTCTCTCCCAAGAGTAGAAAAGTTTTTCCATAATACAAGATACTGTAGTAAGTAATGGTCATTATTATTATTATTTTTTAAATGGCAGATGGAATGCTTGGGCAGAGAATCAACTAATGCTGGTGTAAATGACCATTACTGAAAACTTTGAATTCCAATCAATAGCTAGTGCTGAGCTAGTTGACGTTGGCTTTTATATTTTCACTAGGTACTTTGTAGTCTTCTTTCTGTTTTTACTGTCTATGAGTGCAAAAAAAATGCATAAATCTGGGTTAAATTAATGAATTATGTGTGCTGGTGCCATATAACAGAAATTTTACAGTAATACTAAAACACAATTCTTGACTAATGACTACCAGTAGGTCAATGGATTATCTAATGCTAAGAATGGAAATAATGTGTGTACAATATAATGTACTTGGAAGAAGATAAAAATCTTCCAGGAAAAACTAAAGTGAAGCAGCTGCTTGTGGCTCATCTGGGAAATCACAATTTTCTCTATCTTAATAGATTTATTATTTACAAAAGCAAAATAAAATTAGCTGAGCTTTTTTCTTCAAATGCGAATGAATTGATTATTCAATCATTTAACTTAGTAAGGATCATGGTAGAAATTGCATTTTAGAAAATAATTTTCAATTAAAATATGTGTATAATTTCTAGTTTTTGATTTTTCATTTTTTTAAAAGAAAATTGAAAATTGGTCTGCACGTCTTGACATGGTGGTCAACCATCCCCATGTTCACAAATCAACCTATAGTATTGATGAAGTAGTAGTTAATGATATTTCCTAATAAACCTTGAAAAAGTGCCTTAGGATTTTGCATGCTTACATGAGCTTTGAAAATTACATGACTCAAATTGTGAAAAAGAATTTAAGTTTTTAAATAAAGAAAAATGTATTAATTATGAAAAATATTTTTGAAAAAGGTTTTAAAAATTTTTTACAATAGTTTAAAACTATCTCCAATTGAAAACAATAAGCTTCTTTACCAAACCTTAATTTAAACGTTAGAATAAACTGAGTTTTGTTTTCATTATGCAAGTTAAAAATGCAGTGATTATGTGTATTTGCTGTCCAGGGTAATTTTGCTGGAATCCACAAATTACTTAATGCAGCCAGAGCAAATATATCAAGCCAGGCAAGTAAAGCAAGAACAAATGCTCAGGTAAGTTCTAAATGGCAATTACTAATTATAATCTATTGAATTATACAATTCTATTAGTGTTATATTTTAATGTATAGTAGTGAGCGTACTTGTTGCAAGGAATTATACGGGACATGGAAATTTTGTAGAATTATGTAACATTTTAAAAACACTTTACTGATAACTTACTCAAACGATGGAGAAAAGTTAAATATGATATAAAAGATAAAAATATGTGTAATGTGCCATTTGGAAAATGTATTAGAGAAACTAAGATTGAAAGGTGGACTATTAATGCTAGGATAGGGGCAACCATGGTGACCTAGGTGACTGAAATGCTGAAAACTAGTTCCAGTTCACTGTAACAGGATTAGTTCTGATTCTTGGAATGAAGAAGGTAGAGATATTTGAAGGTGCAACTATTTGAAGGTGCAAGAGTAAAGTCAAGTTTTTATTTATAAATAGTTAGGTCTATAGAATTAAAATCGTGCTGAAGTGTAAAATGTTACAGGTTCAGTAGGCTCCTTGGAGATGCAGAAACAGAGTGAGAGGTTATTCGTGCAGATACATTGATATAAGTTAATGTAATTTTGTGTCTAGACATTATTGCTTAGCTAACCATAGACAGATTTTCTAACATAGGAAATCTGGAAGGACAAGAAGAGTTCAAAGTAAGCATGGTAAAGATAATAAAATGGCAAAGAATAAAAAAAACAGAGAGCAATTGGAATGGGAGAGAAGGAGAGAGATAAATAAAAATCTATACTTAAGACTTATAGTCTGAAAGAAGGTATTTCTGCCTTCACTATCTTTAGTTGTTAGTAATTACTAATAAGCTTAGATAAACAGGCAGATATCTTTGCAGGCATTGAAGAAGTGAGATTTAAATCAGAATCACTGATAGTCAAGCTTAAAGGAGAAAGAGAGAATCAAAAAGCTTTGACAACTAAAATTTGTGGGACTTTCTAGAAGTGGCCCAGCATAGAGAAAGAACTACCACAGATATCTAAAACAATGTTTGGAACTTGCTAGATATTAAGAATTGCACTGTTGTTTTAATAAATGTCAGATAATAACTCTATTTTTCAGTCATAGACTGAAAGCATTAATTCTAAGCCTTTTGCTGATAAATTTTGCGTTCACGTATTGGACTATTTATTACGATCCATTTCTCTAGTCTTCTGTCACTTCAGCCATGTTTTATTATTTATTCATAGAACATTATTTATAATCATCAGTTGGAATAGTATAGTAGCAAAAAAAAAAACCCCAACAAACCAAAAACCCAGAGAAGTAAGAAGTCAGCTTACAGGAAAGATAGCCACTGTCACTTCAGCCATGTTTTATTATTTATTCGTAGAACATTATTTATAATCATCAGTTGGATTAGTATAGTAGCAAAAAAAAAAAAAAACCCAACAAACCAAAAACCATCAGAAGTAAGAAGTCGGCTTACAGGAAAGATAGCCGAAGTGTAATCATTCAGGTTTCTTCTCATAGAGGCAGGATCTAGTTTTGAAAATACACCATCAGCAGCCCCCTCACAATACATGTGAAAAATACCCCAGACCAGAGATGCTATCAAGAAAGAATACTGTAGCCACCAGCACACTGTTACATGGACATTTTAGATGAATGCATTCAATACCGTTCTGTCTCTCATTCGTGTTCTGTGGGCTGTGCTGATTGTTGGTTTCCTGTGTGCTTTGTGCAAGTAGAGCTAAGCTACACTTACCAGATGTGCTACAGTAGGTGAACCTCTAGTGATTAATGATTGCTAGTTTTGAAATATGCAGCCAACACTAGCACAATGGTTTTTGTAAAAAACCTGCAGATATGTTTGGCAAGGCCTGTAGCAAAGAGGAAATAGCCATACCTATTTCATGTAATACATGCTAGAAAAAAGAGTCTGGTCATAACTACCAGTTACTCTGATAAGATCCATCCTCTCAGCCAACTAAACAAATGTTGGACTGCTTTGATTAGATGTTGCCTCTGTTCATATTTTTTGCCAAAAGACATTTGATCTTTTCTGAATGTAATGAAAAATGTGATGTAATAAAGAATCAATATTCATATCTCCTATGCTATCAATTCTGATGGAGGAGATAGATAACATTTAGAACTCCAATACTGTTTGCATGTGCCAGAGTAAAGGGCTCCATCTTCAATTTAAACAAGGGAGAAATGAACTGGAAAATCATATAACTCTTGTTAAAAATTCTCTTAGGACAAAACAGTGATTTTCTAAAACTACTGTCCAAGGCCTCTAACAAAGAAAGTAAAAATAATAGAGCCACTCTGCTAACTCCATCAATGTTTACAGATTTTACCCAGTATATTGTACTTAGAAGCATCAGAAGCTGTAGAAATAGAAAATTTTTCATCATCTTGTATATTTCAGCTTAATTTATCCCTAGGAAATAAATTAGTCTAAAAAGCGTAATTTTAGTCATACCTCCAGGCCTTACTCTTATTGAAATTGATCTGAGGACATCTTAAGGCTTTAGAAATCTCCAGTATTGATTTGCTATAATTTTAGATGTTTCTATTGTCTGTGATAAAAGAAACCACTTAGGTGCTCTTTTTAAGATTTTTTTCTTGAATGGAACATAACAAACTTCTGAAATTGTGTTAAAAAAATAATATGTGTTCAGTTCATAACTGATCAGTATGAAGATTGTACCTACAATAATTTTTATTCTTTTGATAAACCCAGAATATGCCTTCTATAAAATGGGGCCCCATTACTCTAAGTGCTCCATAAGCATAAAACTGCCATAAAATCAATGCTTATACTCTAAGTAATTGTGTCTACATGATTGATATTATTTGCATGCTTCAATCCTAACAGCTTAATCACCCGTGCAGGTGCAAGTGGGTCTCCTCAGTCTCATAGTTCCTTCTGTGTCTTCATACCATGCCCCAGATGTGTCAGACACACCACTTCAAACCTCACTGTAAAAAGCTTTACCTGACAGGTAGCCCTCTTACCTACCATGGGAAGCTGAGTGATATTTGGTGAGAAGGATAGTGTTTTTTCTTTCACCTAGTTGGCATAGTTTTTCTTTTAAGTACACTATGATACATGTGCCTGAATTTTTTCGTTATGCACTTTTCCATGCTTTTCCAAGCCCTTGACACTTCAGTTATTATCCTTGGCCTCCATCTGTGTGCCAGCATGGTCTACTCCCTGTGGGAAAAGGGGAACCAAGTGGAGAGGTACATGCCACATGGCCCAGGAATTCTTATATAAAACTACCCATGTGTAGCTTTCAAGCATGTTGGTATTTTGGCTGATGTTCCTTAAAAAAGAAGTATAGAATGACAGTAAAAGTTCAAGGTTACTTTTAACAGCTAAGATTTCCTTCATAGATTTCCTTCTGTAAAACTAGGAAGTGGTAAAGGTATTACTAACGATTCACTAATAGTTCTATTCTAAGACCATGACTAAGCAGTTTAGAGTTTGCATTACAGTGTCCATGAGTCATAAGAATGGCTCATGATTGAAGAGATTGATTTGTAAAAAAATGCTGTGAATGTGGATAAATCTTTTTACATCAAGAAAAACTTATTCTAAAACAAAAGTTGTATATGGCTTCTTAATGTTGTTTGCTTTTCTTGAAAATAAGAGATAATACCAGGAATTAAAAATATTTTTAGTTTTCAGAATTTTGTTCTTATACTTTTGTTCTAAGCATTTTCATGTGTCAAGGAAAGAGTTACATTAAACAGAAAGCCTGTATTTACCTACTGATAAGATAAAGAAAAAAGGAAGATATAAAAGGCTCCATTGTCTCTGTGTAATGTAGGTTATGAGATACAACATTAATACCTGTTTTTTTTTCAGAAAATATTGTTTAGAAATATACAGGAGTCATCACAATTCTGATTACTATTTGATATATTAGAAATTTATCTATATTTATATAAGACATACTACCTCTTTTGAGCAGCTGCTGTTTTGCTTTTTATCCCAGTCTTTGTTTTGAGATGACAAAGTATCCCATGGAGGAACTGGCAAATGTCTTAGATGTGAGTTTTATGTTCGAATGTTTCAGTATTTTCAGTGCATTAGTAAGCAGTTCCTTGTATTTTCTCCCTAATAAAATGTTCGCTTGCTTCTGTCTTCTAAAGTTCATTGATGAAGTAGCTGCTATGTGGACTTGAGATTTCCCTGTGGTGCCTGGCACTTTTTCTTTTTGCCTCAGTAATATATAAAATCTGGAACTGAAAGGGAATAAAAAGATCATCTAGTAAATTCTCCAAATACAGAAAGGAAAATAATTTTCCTTTTCCAAGAATTTGTTGGATGGAAATAGAGTTATTGACTCATTTGGACCCTGGTCTGAAGAGTAAAGGCACACCATTGCACATGTATAGCTATGATGATATGTGCAGGCTATCTATGTTGACTGCACAGATGATTTTGCTTTTGATCTTGATCTTTTGCGTACCTGATAACATGGCAAACCCAGTTTCTTTGTGGTGCTATGTAGGAAGAGGTAACTGGCAACTCAGAGGTGATAGCTGCTGTTCTTAATGGTGCACAGTTATGTAAGCAATTTGTTGTACAAATTTGAACCAATTAGACTAAAGCATAGCAAGAACGAATTGGAAGTATTCACATCTGCTGTTTTCCCTGTCTAAACCAAGTCTTTGCACCAAGCAATTGGGAGGTGACATCCTGAACCAGCCCTTACCTGTACCTTACTTTTGCAGAATTTTTGGTCATTTAATGCATAGTAATATAACCTTGCTTTGGAAGGGACGAGTTGTGTTTGCAAAAACCCAAAGCAAATGAGAGGCAGTTTGTGAAGTTGCTTGGTCATCACTCTCCCTGTTAAACAGAATCACTTCTAATACCCAAATTATGAGATTTAGAGATCTGATGCACAGCGTGATATAATGTCCTTGGTCTCACAAGTAGACCACTGATCCTCTGCCATTGTGTCTGCACAGCACATGCATAAACTTGATGCTGGAGCTTGTCTTGGGTTCTTCGTCAGTATTTTTCATAT